TTAAAATATTAAGATATATATTTATTAATAAAATAATTAATATTATATAATTAGAAGAGTTATTTATAAAGAAAATTATTTTTTAATATAAAGTATTAGAAGATATTATTATAAATCGAGAATTTATCTTTATAAATATATTTTAATTAAAAATCTATTATTAATTATAGATAAAATATAAATTAAGTATTATTTTTTATTTATAAATTAATAAATAAATAAAGCGATAAAATTAGATTTTAAAATATTATCTAAGAGTATATTATTTAAAGCGATAAGATAATTAAATAAAGCTTCTATTAATCGCGGAATTTATATATTATTAAAGCGAGTATAAAATAATTAATTATAATCTATTTTTTACTATATATAAATATTAATTAAAATTTAAATTAATTATTTAGAAAAATATTATTAAGAGAGAAGTATTTATAGTGAAAGAATATTATCAAAAAATTAATATAATTCGATAAGAGCTTATAAGATATTAGTAAAGTATATAAAAAATATAGTTAAAGTCTTATAATAAGAATTATAAATTATAAAGATTTAATTATAATAATTTTATTATACTTTTTATAAAGAATTTGAAATAAAAAAGATTAAGTAAAAAGCTTTCTAATAAATTAATTTATTTATTTCATATTTAGAAGTATATTAAAATATAAGTATACTAGCTATAACTATTATTTATCTATTAAGTTTATTCTATTTTTTATATATTATTATTAAAATTATATAAACGAAGATTAGAAGATTTAAATATTTTTAAATATTTTATTTCTAAACTAATAAAAGATAATAAAAAGTATTCGATAGAATTTATATATAAAAAGTATATAAGAAAAAATAAGATAAAATATTTTATTCGATAGAAAGATTATAATAAAATATATAATAAATAATTTAATAAAGAAGTTATAAGGAATATATAAGATCTAATTAACGAGTTTAGTAAGTAAGGCTTATAAATATAAAAAGCGTAAGATATAAATATTAAAAAAGAGCTCGAAGATTAATAATTTTAAAAAATATTTAAAGATAAAAAATTTAATTATAGAAAGTTAAATCTCGAATATTATAATAAAAAATAATATTAAAAAAATTAACGAAAAGTATTAATATTTAAAGGTGATAATAAAAAGATAATATTATTAGAAATAATAGATATTATAATATAAGATATATATATATAAAATAGTAGATTAATTAAGTCCCTTAAAGTCTTTATCGAAGATATCTTTATTAATATTATTATTATTAAAATTATTTCTTAAATCGCTCTTATAAGCGAACTCTATCTTATTATTCTCTATCTCTTTCTCTTTATTCTTCTCTTTATTCTTCTCTTCTTCTTTATTCTTCTCTTTCTCTTTATCTTTACTATTATTTATCTTATTTTTATTATTATTATTTTTAAAATTTAAATTAAATTTAAAATATAAAAAAGATATATTTATTAATAAAAGATTAGTTTAAAATATATTTAATATAAATAAAAGGGATAAGAAATAGATATAAAAATTATAGATATATATAATAAAGCGTATAACGTTATAGATATTTATAAGAATATCTAGAATTTTTTAAAGAATCTTCGCTTTATTTAATTTCTTCTTTATTTTCAATCGATTTATAATATATTAGATTATTATTAAAATTATATTAAAGTATTTATAAATGATTTTAAATTATATAATAGATATAAAATTAGAAATATTAAAAATACGAAGATAACGAATAAAGTAAATATATTAGAAATAAATATAAATTATAATATTAACGTTAATAATAATATATTTATTCGTTAAAATCTTTTAAGTAAATTAGTAGATATTATAAATATATCTATTACGCGTTATTTATATAAAAATTTATTATAATATAATTATCGCGAAAATAAGTATAATAATAGCATTTAATATCTATATTATTATTATTATTATTAAATATAATATTATATAAATAGAAAGTATATTTGAAGATTTATCGAGTATAGCGATAATAGATATTCTTATTTAATATTAATAAATATCTAGTATTATAGAGAGTAAGTATAATAAATTATAACTATTAATATATAAGAAATATATATATAATTATAGAATCTTTAAAAAACTTATTATAGTAGTTATAATATCTATAAAATATATTAATTAAATATATATTTATTATATATTTATTATAAATAGCGTAAATTATTAAGAATAATAAAGAAGTATTAATAAGATAAAAACCTTTTTAAAGAAAAAGTAAATATTATTATAGTTATATATTAATTATATATATTATATATCTAAATTATAATATTAGTAATTACTTTATATATTATTATAATTATATTTAATTTATAAAAGTATATCTAATATTATCTATTAACGTTATATACTTTTATTATATATTTATAATATATTATATTTATACTATATTATTATAAGAATTTTTTTTTTTTTTTTTTTATAAAGTTTAAAGAGTTTTAATAAGTTTTTAATAATAATAAAATATTCTTTCTATACTTAGATTTAAGAATAAATCTTTAAAGAGAGAAGATAATTATTAGAAAAGAAGCTTATAGATTTTAAATAAGAGAATTCTCAATTACTTAATTTATATATATTTAATATACGCTTAGCGAAGTCTTAGCGAATAAACTTAAATAAATAATTTCTTTTAAATTTTCTTTACTTTTTTAAGAATTAGTTTTACTATTAAATTAATATACGAATATATCTATCTTTCTAATATTCGATAGTTACTATATTATTAATACGTTTAGAAGATATAGCTAAGATTTATATAGCTTTAAAATTAATTAAATACGACTATTTACGATATAGCTACTTAATTTAAATAATTTTACGAAGAGATTTCTATATTATAATACGAATTTGGGTGTGTGATATAAAAGATCTCCGGTATCAAGCATTCCAGATGTTTTTGAATGCGCTAAATCTACGCGAGCCGAGCTTTCCTCTCTTCCACTAGGCCACTAGGCGCAGATCAATAAGCCACGTTCTCCCTTTTTTCAGAATCTGACAGCTGTTCTAGCCCCTAAATGACGCGGCGCATCGAGTGGATGAGTCTGATTAAGGCATTCGATCATGTCTTCTGCAAGCCACAGATCTTACTTTAGCTTTCAGCTAAACCACCCTTGCGCTCATCTCCCGCCATGAGAGACGATATCCTGACGCAGGGGGCATACATCTTTTCGGCCCTTCTCTTTACCCATGGCATAGTACACACTACCATACACAAACCCCTGTTCTTATTATCAGCCTAGAATAACCATCCCGTAGGCCACGAGATGCTGTTGCCAACATTGATAGGGGGCCTAGCCAGCCTGAACCTCCACTTCAGCCAGCCACGCGGCCGCCATCATCCCTTCAAAGACATCGGGATTGCAGCGGACACGAGGACCAAGCTTGTCGAACCCCAGAGGAGAGTCCCGTCTGCAGAAGGCCGAATTTGAGGCATGTCAGATCTTGATACTACCTTTTTAGCTGCATTTCCATTGACGATCGTCCGACTCTCGCTTCAATCCAAACTCACTTTACCAATGTCCTTCATCCAAGTCCTCATCAAGTCAATGATCCGAGTAATCAACCTGCTCCCCCCTCAGAAATATACTCTGTCCCATTCCTCCCCTGTAGAGAATTGAGGCTCGCTGACAACATGTGCGGACATGGCGATGCTGCGTGCAGCAAACTGCATATGGACCCCGTTTGAGTGTCTGCTGTTGACTTCTTCCACATGCAGAAGGCCGCCCCTGATCGGCTTCTTGACTGGTTTGGGTGGCTCTGGAATGTGGAACTTCCCCGTACTCGTTTCCACCCCCATTTGCACGCTCTTAAAACCGATAAATCCGACGTAACACCAAAATGCCTACCTTTCATCAAATTTGTATGGCAAACTAGCATAATAATGATGGTCTTTTATTTCTATCCAGACTTAAGATCGGAGAACCTAAATCACCGTTTTTTGGGCCTTATCGGCCTACCATGTCTTGAAAAAAACCGTCACTATCTCTTCTTCTACCTCTTCTACTTCTTCTCTACTACCTCCTCTTCTACTACCTTCTTACCTCTTCCACCTCTTCTATCGCTTTCATCTTTTCTATCTCTTCCACCTCTTCCACCTTTTCTATCTCTTTTACCTCTTCTATCTTTTCCACCTTGCTGCGGTAAAGCCTCTGATGAAGTCTTCGGTGAAGTCGGTGGAGCCCGTTACTATGGCGGAGCAGCTCCTTATCTATCTCGCTGTTATTGCTGTGGTGGAGCGAGATTTAGTGGCATTAGTGGGCCTGGTGTGGGAGGTATAGTAGCCTTTTTCTTGATAGGACTTCTACCTCTCTTCGTGTCTTCAAAAATAGCTGGTCCGAGGTGACACCTACTATGCCAGGCCTATAGATGGCGACTATGGTACCGTAGCATTGGCTATCATGATAGACTATGGTGGTAGGCCATTTGAATGAGTGGTAGTGGTAGCCATGGTAGTGGTAGCTATCTATGTCGGATTTATCGGATTTAAGAGCGTGCAAATGGGGGTAACGTGCAAATGGGGGTGGAAACGAGTATGGCTAATCGTTGTGCCACACGTCAACATTAGACTGACATTTACCCCTCTCCGCGCGTCACCGCTCGCGGGTCAGCCAGGTACTACGTCCTATTTGGGCAACTTGAGGGAAGTTCGAGGCATGCCCCGTGCGTAGCTCACAGGCTGTCAGAATCTATATCTTAAGACTCTCTCTCTTTTTGAAATACCTGATGCCAAGTCTACGTTCTACCCGTCAATGCAGATTCAACCGATGCTGCTGTTGTAACCCTTTCGTCATATGTTCGAGCATGCTTGGTCTTCATCGTAATCCTCTCTGTAGGTCATCCTTGGCCCGGTGCATTGCTATTGCTTACCTGACCATCACCGCAGCTAGGAAACCGTCGAACTCAAGTAATACAACGATACCTCTGAACAAAGATACTGAAGAGGGCAAACGCTCAAAAGCCATGGCTGATGACACTCCCGCCGTCAATGGCAGCCAGAGCCACGACAATCTCAACGTTGACAAGCCAGCCGTGATTGCCAAGGAGCCAAAGGTCTCCAAGCCTATGGTCTATGAGTCCAGCCCAAGCAAGGAACCGGATGGCTTGAGCAACGGCACTACAAACCATGCAAGCCAAAGTATGACCCAACGTAAGACAGTCCACTTCTTAAAACTCTTCATCCTTATCGCTGACCAAGATTTTACTTCACAGGCTCTCAAAACCATACGCGTACCTCCAAAGGCTGGGGCGATTCCAGTGTCATGTTCTCAAAAGACCAGCAGGTCACAATCCTTCAAGAGACGGTCATCAAAACCCGACGAAAGTTTGTCGCAGATTTCGATCAGGCTGATGATACCGACATTCATAGCTTGACCATTGAAGGCTTCCTCCAATTCATCGAGCGCCAGAGGCTCACACACATGCCGCATCGAGGCTCGAGATGGGACAAAGTCCTCAAGTGGTACGCTTCTTCCGAGTTCAGATATCCTCTTGTCAACCCAGCTTGAGTCCTGAGACATTTCTTGGGGGTGAATGCTGTTCAGATATGTTTCGAAGGTGGACATCCCCACTGGAGTAGGCAACGCTGACTTCACAATCTCGATTCAGGGCGGAATTCTTCGCTCTCCAGATATCGGAATATTCCAAGGCTGTTAAAGGCTTCGTCCGTGACAGTGGTCAAGCGGCGCAGTTGATTTGGGCTGCAGCTTGCGCCTTGCTCGAGGCAAGTCTCCTGGTCGGGACTTTCCCTTTCGATTCTCCTGCGCCACGACAACCTCCTCCACGCCGATGAACACATTAGAGTGGAAGTAGGCCAGGCCTTCAATGACTTATTGACACTAATTCGAGACGTAAGCATCTATTACTACGCTCAGGTGAACGCCGTCTCTGCCGGAAAAGTTAGTCTTGATTTCAACAGCACATTTGGTGGTCACATCGAGGCTTTTCACAAACGCATAGGTCGAATTACGGACGCTATGTGGCAATTTGAGCTCGGCGATGATGCGTCTGTGGATTTCGAGATTATTCTTCCCTGGCTCCGTCCTCGCGACCGTAACCTGGAGACCTTGACCAAGAGTCGTCTTCACGCTCCAGGCCATCGAGACGAGTACACCTGCGAATGGTTCCAAAGACATCTCCTCGACTTCTCACGAAGTAAGGATGATGCGTTGTCGATTGTCGGACCTGCAGGCTGCGGCAAGAGTGTCTTGTCTCGTTGGATCATTGAGAGGCTGCAGAGGCCGCTCGGCAAGAGAACCTATGACATTTTATTTTTCACAGTTGGTAGGTCATCCGCGTCCGCGCGGCTCACTCTATTCCAGTCACAGACACGAACACCCATTATCAACAGCAAGCCTACATCTCATTCCTAGCATCATCAATTGAATTGGAATTGTTGCTTTTTCACCGCTGAGTTTTTACTCACATCTACGCTGCTATAGCCGTCATTCCGAACCTTCGGCACCCGTTCACTAACGTGTCCAACAGAAGCAGACGTTCCTAGCGAGACTTCATCGGTTGCGATAGCCAAGCATTTGTTACTACAACTCCTTGAAAAAAACATAGGCGATGAGCTTCTGTTCCAAGATTTGGCTCAGGCGTACGACATGTCATTTTCGAAAGATACCAGCAATCTCGAGGACTCTTTGTGGAAATCTTTGGAGAAGGCGATGGGTCGATTCGCCACCCAACACTCTCTCTTTGTCATCATTGATGGCCTTGACGAAGTGAAGGGTGGCGAGCAAAGCAGAAAGCAAATCACCCATCAGTTGGGGGCGCTCGCCGCGAAGCATACCAACGTTCAGATCATTATTCTATCCCGAGACCCTGCCCCAATGCCAACTGAGGGCAAGGTTCAGACATTCAAGATTACCCATGATCATACGCGCGAAGATCTTAGGCATGTGGCTGGGCATGCACTCCATGGCTACGTGCATTACCAAGGACAAAGCGAACATGCTCGCGAAGCGGTTGTTGAACAGCTAAGTCATGCCGCAAAAGGCAGCTTTCTTGGCCTTCTCTTGACTGTCAAGTTCCTGAGGCAGGAGAAATCCCACGAAGGGTTTATGAAAGCAGTCAAAGCTGCCAGGGATACACCAAACTCTCTTGACGAGCTGATCAAAAAGCTAGTAGATACGTTGGACTTCTCTACATCAAATACCAATCACTTGCTGTCCTGGATGCTCGTAGCTGAGCGGCCATTCATCATCACCGAAGTCAAAGATTTGTTGCAGATTGACCTCCAAAGAAGCATTCCGTAGACCAGAAGACGGACATCAGGGAGGACATCAAGGCCTCGTTGGGAGCTCTAGTCATCATCGACAACGGATTTGTCCGGGTTCGACATCCTGCAATTAGAGCTCAGGTGTTCAATCTCCAGAGAGAAGGCAAGAAAGTTCTGAGCTATCAATCTGCGCAGACCGATCTTGCCATGAGACTCCTAGCTTATTGCCGGTTCAACCTTACAAACTCTCGAGATCCAGCCTTGGAAGTGGTGGCTGAGACAGAGGTCAACCAGCTTTTTGAGAGTCATCGACTGTTGGAATACGCAGTGCGATACTGGACTCTGCACTTCCATGCTTCTTCGATGTACACAAGCGCCGATAAATTCCAGCTCTCGGCTGATCTCAAGGCCATCTTTCCCAGCTCAACACAGCTTGTAATGCTCGAGTGGGCCTGCTGGGATCCCTTGGTCGATTCTATCAAGACACATGAGCTTGCCCGTCGCATACGTACAGATGTATTTACTGAAAAGCATGAGTCGGTACTCCAAAGCTTGATCATCTGTGGAGGCCTGTACCAGAAATGGTCGAAGACGACAGAGGCTAGCATGTGCTTCTACCGTGCGTCGCACATTGGCCAAGAAATACTGCGCGAAAACCATACAATTACCATTGGATGCACCACGACATTCCTGACGATCACCGAGACTATCAAAACAACAACACGCACGGAGCTGGCAACATGCAAGGAGGGGATGCTGAAGTATATCATCAACGCCTACAAGCATCAACATGGAAAGACGCACGACCTGGTAATTTGCTATTACAAGATGCTCGCGCAGCTGTACATTGAAATTCGCGAAGAGCACCATGCTGAAAATACTTGGCGCGAGCTTCGCGAGATCATGATTACACGGTATGGTAAGGGCTCAGAGGTAAGTCAACGCAAACCCTCGAGTACATTTGTCCATCGCATTGCCTGGTCAATTGTCTAATCTTGCAGATCACGTGCTAATACTACCATGTAGGAAGAAATAGGCATATCTGAACAGCTTACTATTATACTCAAAAAAGGCGACAAGAAGATAGACGTTGTCGAGTATGAGAAAGGTATTTTCGATGTCGCCATGGATTTGGAAGTTTGGGACATTCGCCGCATCCAAATGACCATAGAGTTGGCAGTATCCTATGAAGCGCGCGGTGAATACTTCCTTGCCGAAGAACTCTACATAACACTCTGGAGACGCCTTACTGAGCAGTGTCATCATCCTCACCATCATCATGGGGTGGAAATCCACATTCACACCATCGATGTAGTCTTAGAGTACGTGCGGTTTCTAAGACGCCGTCATCGGCATGAAGAAGCCTCCAACGTACTCATTTGCGTTTGGACCGAGTACGAAGAGTACGATTTCGAATCTGAGACGATTTTCCTGCGACTCAAAGTCGTTGGAGAACTCATGCGTGCTATCAACCTTCTGTCCGTAGCCATTTCCGTGTTCAAAAAATGCTCGGCATGGTTCGAGTCTCATGGCAAGCATGAGCACACCGAATCCTGCGAAGTCTTGATTTCCGAGACTATGACAGAGATCATCTCGACGACATCTACGACGACCGCCTCCATTACTAGCACAACGCCGACAACTACAGAGACGGTCATCAAAGAGCTTTTCGAATCGACCATGTCCCGCAGTACGGTGACATCCGAGACCTTTGCAATCTGCAAGAGCCTCGTCTCCTACTACATGAGGATGGAACAATGGTCCCAGTGCATCGAAGTGACGAAACGATCGCTACTGCTTGTCTGGAAGACGATCATATCCGGGCGAGGGACCATTGCTTTACCTAAAGATTTCGGGTCCGAGGCCATCGACATTGCAACAAGCCTTGCCGTTTGCTATGACCGCTCGCATCGTTTTCATGAAGCCGAGGAGATCTATATTCGCATTTATCGCGCGTGCCGCAACTCCTGCCACATTCACGATGAGCGCTTGACCAGATCCTACACTGTGCTTATCAAGTTCTACGAAGGACACCGTCACTGGCACAATATGATCGAAATTTATCATGAACTTCTTGTCGAGTACCGCAAGCTCCTAGGCACTTCCCATACCCTGACTATCAAGATTCTCTACATTCTGGGCTCCCTATGCGCTGACCATGGACATGACCACGCTCACGAGTACTACGAAGAGATCATCACAACGCTGAACCATGGATCGGCGGTCTGCCACCACGATGCTTTGGATGCCATGTTCTTCATGTTCAAATACCATAACGAGGGTGGTCATTGGCACAAGCTACAGGCGATCTGCAAGACTCTCTGGCTGACTTGGAAAGACCTACATCAAGGATACAAAAAGTTCAGTGTCGAATTCGTCGAGGTCCTTTATCTGCATTATCGCTACGTCCTGGAGCATCATAGTCACTGCGAATTTTCCGTTCTCCGGGATTTGACCGTTGAATATCGTAATGCTTGCATCAAGATCTTTGGCGCTTCCGCTACGGTCACTCTCAAGGCCTCCATAGAACTCGCTCAGATCTACATGAAGAGTGAGAAGCATGTCCATGAAGCTTTGTCGATATATGAAGAGGCAAGTAGTATTTGTGGCCCTCATCTCTACTTATGCTAACTATGTCAGGTGTTGACCACGACGAAAACAACCACGACCCAGATATCTGAAACGACCATCACGACTGTTAAGGTTTTGTTGACAAGGGCGTACGTGAAGGTTTGCAACCACAGTTCTGTATCAAAACCCACCGTTGAACGGGCCATCAAAGTGGTTCTCGAACGCTTTAATTCCCTGAAAGCAACCTTTGGCTGCTCTCATATTGAGACGTTGACTGTCCTACGGGAGCTCGTCCTCCTGTATATGAAGCTGGAAAGCCATTCCATGGTGGTACGCATGCTGCTCGATACAACAATCGAGATCATCAAAAAGGAAAAGCACTCCAAGACGCTCCACGAGGCCGCAAAAACCATGGGCTCCATTTATATCGCCTGTGGAATGGCTGAGCAAGGCCACGAGATGATTCACGAAATGCGACTACAGCTGATTACCGGAAGCGCCAGCTCGGACAAGTCGAGCTTCAAAATCGACAAATCCACTGGTAAAGGCTGTTACGTCTTCCTGGTTACGTTTGAACAGATAGTTCTAGGACAGATGACCATCAGCTACTCCGAAATCATGGCCGATCTCCTCACAGAGACGATTCTTTACGAATCATTTACCCGCTGCATCAACAACAAGTCCCATACTGAAGTCATCCTCGCAAGGGCTGGTAGCCTTCGCGCGTTCTTAGTCTCTCGCAAGCGCAAGGTACAAATTGAGGTTCTGGAACATCAAGCTCACGAGATCTTCATCAAGAAGTGGGGATCAACCATCAAGGTGCGGAGCGAAGTTAGCCTTATCTTCTGCAACAGTCTACTCGAAGAACTTGGTCGTCACGATACTCACAACGTAGAAATTGGGCCTTCTGCGTGCATATCCAGCGTTGCCAAGGTCCAGTACTTGCTTAGCGAAGACCGGATTCAGCAAGCGTACGAAGTGGCGTTCTGCGCGCTCAACTTCATTAATCAGCAACGCGCATATCATCAACTGCAGAACGTTGGCTACGGCTTCAAATTGTCTGCACTCATGGCTGGCCGTGGTCTCGAAAAGCCAATGAAGGCGGGGGTCGACCCCAAAGTTCGCAATGACATGATGGAGCTTTCGCGCAAGATCATCCACGAAATTCTACAAGCATGCAAGGATTCCAAGATCGACTTTGTGCGCTTGCAGCTGCGTGAGCTGAACGACCTTGCTGGTCTGCTTGGCGAACAGCAAAACCACGTAGATCTTGAAGTAAGCCCCCCTGACTCTGGCCCCTATCCATATTACCAAGCTGACCACAACGATCGACAGTGGCTCCTCAAGCTCCTCTGGTCCTCCCGCGAAGTCCAAAAGAAATGGTCCTCTACCACCATCGTCTCTATCGGTCGCCGCTACGTGCAAGCAACGTATGCCAACAAAGATCACCGTTCCCACGCTATCCGACTCTGCGAAGACATCTGCTACAACCTCCGCCGCGTATGGGGCTATCTCGACCCAAAGACGCTCGAGATGTCCGAGCTGCTGTCGCAACTGTACACGAGCATGGGCCATTACCGCGAGGCGATGGGTGTGCACGAAAACATTCTGAGACTGGTCGTAGAGGGCGACGATGGCGATGACAAGACTGTCGACACAATGGACTCGAAGAGGGTCAAGATGCATGTGGAATGGTTGAAGCAGTGCTACCTGCGCCTGCAAGGCTGGGACAAGTCTGCCGCTACCTACAGAGACCTCGTCAGCGCAGTCCTCCGCATGGAAGAGTACAGGCACAAGCCAGAGTGGCAAGGCGTACACGGCACCGACCACTGGGACAAGAAAGAACCGGCCTCGGACCGCATCGGCAAATTCGTCGCGCCGAAGGAGTGGGAGTTCGAGGACCCCGAGACCGCCAGCGGGCAAGACAGCGCCGAGGAAAACACCACGTACAAGCGATCAGGTATGGGTACGAAGAGGGCGACGAGCAATTGGGGATTGAACCACTTCCGCCACGTGTTGAATGGGGACCATGAGGTACACCACCGTGATGGTAATCGGACCAAGGCACCGGAAGCGGCAAAGCCGTTGATCCTTGACGGTGACGACGATGGGTACGAGAGCGCCCGCTGAGGAAGTGGGTGATGGGGATGGGGTGAGCGGGAAGCCGTAGATGTTTGTCCGCGGCGCCGATGGCGTGTGCGCGTGACTTCTAGGATATCGTCGACGTCTGTCCATTAATAAATAGAATCTGAACCACCTCCGTTCCTTTCCACTCACTCCAAACCTCCCTCCCGCTATCCACACTCTCCATTCCCTAAACCCCGTTTTCCCCCTCTTCGTCTTCTCCAACCCCCCCCCCCTCTCTCACCTCCCAACCGCCACCAGACCCGAAAGCCAACCACTCGCGCCCCGACCGCAGGGCAGTCCTTGCACGTCGGCACGAGTTTAAACCAATTCCCCGCAGCGGACGCCGTGATGGATCAACGCACGGGCGGGGCGAGGCGATGCTCCATTTTTTTAATTTTTTTTTATTTAGGGACGAGTTGGTGCCTGTGTGGATTGCTCGCGATGGCATTTGGACGATGATGAAATGATCGCGATGGAAGACTTTGCGACAGGGGATATCGGGATTGGATGGTATGGTGTTGATGCGGTGGGCCCGGGGGCTCTATTCTATTGTTGGATGATACTCGTAGCGCTATTCACCGATGTATTTTGGAAACAGGCATGCGGAGTGAGAACTCGCTCGCTCGCTCGCTTGCTTAAATTCACACCTTCGTCAACAAGAAGGAATATGCATATCTATTCATTCGCTAACCACCACCACCACTACGACCCCCAGCGACCGCGAGTTCGAACCCGGACCGCGCATGCCGCCGGGTCGGTTGTCTGATTCGCGAGCGGCTGCGGGGGTCCTCACGGCGCACGGCTGGCTTTTTTTTCCCGGGTGCCTTGTCGTTGGTGGTGGTGGTGGTTTGAAGGAGGGAGGGAGGGAGGAAGGTAGGGACGAGGATGGGATTTGGGTGCTGCGGGGCGAGGATTGGAAAGGTTGGCGGGTAGTGTATGTATGTATGTATCTTGATTCGGGTCATGCAAGTTTTTGGTTTTGGCGTTGGGGGGGGGGGGCGAACGGTCGAAATCAATTTAGTTGGTGCGTAGCTTGCGTGATCCGATACTGGAAATACGCGTCGGGAATCTTGCGTGCCTGAAGCCCAAGGTCACCTCCGCTATCGGAATATGTAGTCGAGTTTCGCCAAAATAGTTGGTACAAAGGCGTTCTGAGAATTCCTGTTCGCATTGCCATGCGTCTTCCCGTCGTAGTGCACAGCGACTCGACCGTCCTGGAACCATGAATTTCATTTTCGCCGGCGCTGATCGCCGCGGAGTCGGCTAGCATCACCTCTTGAACATAGCAAATCGAATTTTGGCGGTAGAAATACGCCGGCGGCAGAGAAGCCATGGATTCCCGGAGTCCGGACCAAGATCGAAGTAAGTACCATATAAGACGATGTTGCCAGGTATCGTAGTCGGTACCCGGTGCTAGTGTGACGCTAATATCACAGCACCGTTTCCGGCTCTTGTGAGTAAATAATCGCTGATCACGGGGAGAGTGAGATGACGGGGCTAGATTACAGGTCCGAGATCAGGTGGATGGAACCCAGTAAGGCTCATGGAACTGCGCCATGCATTTGACCAAACTTGGCGGCGACTCCTGCCATTGAACAAGCTCAGTCTGCAAATCTCCGCTAGTCATGTTGAGAGGGTCTTCGACGCGACCGTGCAGATCTTTGGCCTCTTTGGTTCGATTGTCGTAGCCGACGTTGACCGTAGGGACGACTTGGATCCGACCCAGACCAAGCCTCCACAAGTCCTTGGCAAACAACGTCGGTTCGCCCATGTAGCATTCCGCCTCGACGTTTCGGCGGAACCGAATCCGGCGCTCCATTATGGGTCGAGCGGATATGACTGCTCCGCCGTTCCAGCATGCGTACACCTGGAAAGGCTGGCGTTGAAGATACTGGGCACGCGTCTGTCGGTCGGCCCAGAAGAGGTTGTCGGAAAATTGCCATCCGCCATCCTGTGCGATCTGCCAGAAGGTTTCGCCGACTATTGACCGCGCAACGTAGATGTCGTAGAAGATGGCACCGCCGTGCGACCAATCCATACCGCATGTCATGGTCGCATGTTGCATCTTCTGCTGGTACAGCAGTTCCAGAATGTCGTGGGGACACAAGTAGACGTCGTTGAGGAAAATGACCTGCGCGTCGGGCGAAAATTTCGCTTTCTCCATGACCAATGGCGCCAACGCCAAGTTCCTCAGAAATGCTAGGCCTTCGAATCGATCCTGCTTTCCGTCTTGCGGGCTGACGTCGCTGGTGGACATGTAGAACACAGCGCCCAACCGTTCCACTTCGTCCCGTAGAGCCGCCAAAACTTGGTATGTGCCATCTGTAGACCTGCCTTCGACGAAAGAGACAGCGCACCGTTTTGGGCCAAGGAAACGAATGGTCTGAATTATAGACCCCAACAGAGTTGGCAGGACCGGAATAGTCTGGTACAGATCTAAAGCGAATAGGTACTGGATCCGTCCATCGTGCTCCGTTGTGACCTGTAGTGAGTCGTAGCGTGCAGCAATTGATGCCGAGCACTGAATTCGCCACGCGGTACTATTGGCTTCTCCCATTATCTCACGTAGACATTTCGCCACCTCGCCCGGGGATAAGGCGTCCATGTCGTGAGCCTTGGTGCCATTCTGCCATTGTTGAATATAGTCGTCCTCAAGCACTGGCCCAAGGGTAGTCTCCGTTTCCTTACCGGTACGCCCGGGTTCGGACTCAATTCCCTTCACTTTTGAGCAAGACTGTAGAGCAGACTGTTCATGATCAGATTGGGGTAGATTGGGAAAGATTCTGTCATAGATGTGGGAAAACGAGGACCATAACAAGAACAGGACGGTTAGGAGGAGAATCAATTGCACACTGATTCTCGCCTCTTGCTTCCGTCGCATCCTCTACTTCCTTACAAACAGCGTCAAAGAGGAAATTCTATACAAGTTCAGGTCAGATGTTCCAGCATCTTGATCTCGAGCCCAGCTTGCACATTGACACACACGAATCAGTAGAAAATATTACATGGCGAGAGAGTGAGGACACGTGAAGTTTCATTAGCCTTCGCATAGAGGCTATTTCCATGTCGGCTGGATAGCGTGCGCCTATGTTGTGTCCAACCCATGTTGCGAAGAACCTTAGTTTCCGCCAATCGTAAGCATGCGCTTGGCCTGGACCGTTGGCCTCTGACATGAAACAGCCATCGAACTTTGAATCCTTGGCGGCCATGGGGCCTGGGGCCATTGAAATGCATACCAACAACAATTATGATTGCGTCTGCTAAATTGAGCTCCTTCGCGATGTCTTTGTGCTGCTTGAAATGAAAATGCTCGAAACATCCAAATAGCGTTGCGTGAAAGTCGACGTCAAAGCGGCAACCATCCTGTAGTTGATCGTACGAGTACAGCAAGCTATACATGCCACTGTATCTCCGTCCAAAGCTATATTATGCATTTGAAGGGAATTGGAGGAAAAGGAAGCATCCAAATGGATAGCCTCAACTGCCGCCTGAAAGGAATGGGCGCAGAGTGCCTCCTCGAGATCCTTTATCTCATCGCTGTGGTCTAAGAGCACCAAGAGGAATTCTTGCAAGAGGAAGTGTATCCACGGGAATGGGCTCTGGTTCAAGGGCTCCCTCATGATCGTCTTCGGTCGACCTTGATCCACCGTGACTATCCTGATATGGTCTTGGTGGTCCTCTGGAAAGGCGAACATAGACTATGCGTACAATTGTAGCGACACCCATGAGCAGAGGCATTGTTTGGCCTGCCGAGCATAGCGAATTGACGCCCTGGATCTTGTTCCACTTGATCGTGAGTTCAGTTGCCGCAACAATTGTACTCGCGACGGCGACGTTGCAGGCTGATCGCAGCTGCAGTAGACTTTCAACGTGCATTCTCCTGCTCGATAGGTCAGATATACATAGAATGGGGGTGCCACGCGGCCAGACGGAGACACTATACCTATGCCTCGGTGCTTGTTTCTCCACAACCAATTCCGCTCTTTTGAGAACGGTTATTGAGAGCACGATGGCGCAAGAGGACAGAAGCAGAAAGGATAACACTATACTCAGCACCTCAAAACCTTTCTCATTCAACGTGATCTTTGCAAAGCAGAATTCATACTCGTCACAAACCTGTCCATCCAAATTTAGCACTCGGGCAAACCGGAACCACAATTGGAACGACGCTATGGCAACGAGTAACAAACGTTTCAACACGCTGTAGACTTGACCAGGCGGAACATGAGGAAATTTGAAGGGGCCCAAAGCAGGATTATACCCAGTGAGTACCCCGCCAGATGTACAGAGGCACAAGGAAAAAGAAACACCCAAACGTAAGCAAAAGGATATTGTAGACCTCGACGACTTGTAGATTCGATATATCAAGAATGACATGGACGAGCAGGGAGAGGAAGGTGGCGGCGATAAAGACACTGTTTGTCAGGCGTAATCCATTTACTTCGGATGGTGCGAGCTAGGAAGCTAAGTCCCCAGCGTATCCTTGAAGATAGAAGGCGATCCGAATGACCAGCCCGTACATATCGGTATCTCCGGCAAAGCTACAGACTGCCATGGCTATACAAGGCCGGACAGCGATCCGTGGGAATGGACAAAGGCGTAGCCTTACCAACAAATTCTGCTGCAGCAGTGAACAGAGGTTCGAATGGAGGACCCTTTGAACGTCCATAGAACACAGTATCCGTAGCTCTCTTGAATGAAGTCTCACAGTACAAGCGTCTCAATAACGTCGAGGCGGATGAAGAAGAGCTCATCAACGAAATCGAAGCGGATCAGGGACTGACACTTCCTGCTCTCGAACAATTTCGACTTATTGCTCCCGTATTCACTGGATAGATTGCTTTTCACGCGACGAACATTGCTCAGACCAACCAGCTGATAGTGCGGGGCAAGTCGAGTCAGCTTAGTCGTGCGAGTCAATTGCCAGGCACCAAGGGCAGTCAATCGAGATCAGCGCTGGCCGGACGGGGCCAACGCAGTTGTCGCCGTCGACACAACTTGCACACCTGAATTGGACATTCAAACTACAGGTGACTAGCTTACTTTATCATCCTTCCATTACAGGACTTAGAAGAGCCCTAGCTCACAGATCTTTTACTCAACTTGCGTGCAGCGACCCGGTCAATGTTCCAATCCCTACTTCACGGTAGACATGGTGTCTCACGCGTGAGAGTAAAGGCTGAGAATCCCAGTGTCCGTGCTGTCTAACTTGCCTGGTATTGCCTCTCACAGTCTCATACGGCTTAATCAGGAGGGTGTTTCGTGTGATGTACTGTTGTATCCTGTCTCGGAAATTCATCGTAAAAGTCTCGTCTGTTTTGGAAATGTTCTAGGGAACTCTCATATCAGGGTAGTACTCTGTAAATAATAGCACTCCTCCGTGAGCCACAACTCGGGAATACATTGTTATGTATCCTATTACATGTATCCTGGAAATTCAAGATGTATTAATGCGAAAATGATAGCGCAAAACCGCACCTGCGGCTTGACGCACCCTAATCCCCGCTAAAGCCGCGGCCGAAACGCCTTGGCACGCGACATCATCAATGGGCTCTAAGCTGACTGCCATTTGTGCTTCCTACATGCTGTTGCCTTTCGCTCTTTCCAGGCTCTTTATTTTTGTCTCTGTCCAAAATCATAATTCATTCAATAGAGACGTCGAGTCTTCAGGAGGAGCGCCATGCTGCGGGGATGGATCCACTCGAAGAAGGACAATGCCTCCACACACTCCTTGGACACGTTGGCCGAACCACAAAACTGTACGAATGCTTTCTCTCGATTGCGTTGCTGGCTTTACTGACCTATATCTTCAGTGGAGGCGGCCCTTCGAGGTAATATCCACGACCCTAGATCTCGGCTTCGAGAAGGATAAGGCTGACGGAATTCCTGATGTAGCGGCAGCACATATAATGGACGATGACCTCGAGAGCGCGGAAGATGGCTTAGCCAGCGGAAACTCGTCATTCCATAAGGTGCGCCAAATGATCCTTCTCGGCTGCCTAGGTTCCAGGCTGATGAAGAATACTTTGATACCTATAGCTGGCAAAGGGCATGGTTGCTTTCTTAAGAGCTACGCTTGGTTTCGAGCCGGAAATAATACGCGAGGGTGTGTATAAAGTGTTACTCCTGAATGATTCGGGACGATTGCTGATGTATTTATTATGTGCCTCCAGCCGCGGAAAGATTAGCAGATGCCGAGACGACCGCCTCCACCGACCATCGGCGAGCTCAGAAAGACAGTCATTCATACCGCTCTGCTGTCTACCCACCCGGCGCCGAGTTTTCCCTCTGCCATGCACAGACACAATTGATGAGCGCTGTGATTGCAGTATTGAACGAAAGTCTCACGGAGAGCATAAAGGGCTTCTACAAATTACGAAAGGCGTATGTTACGCTTAATACGATACTGGATGCGGAGTCCAGATACATCAAGACGAAGAGTGGAATGGACACAAATACACCCAGCAGAAGGTCGGTGGAATCTTTCAGGTCGGATAGGTCAGCCCCGTCGCTCAAGGGAATGCCGGGTGGATTTGGTGGCGCTACATCTAAGCCGCCATCTATACGCTCGTTTCGAGAACCAACTGCCAATAGTTCAAACAGTGCAGCCACAAAACAGGATGGGCTCACCAACGGTGCGCAAGATCATCACGATGATGACGATGAAGATGAATTCTATGACGCAGATGATGGAACGACTGATAAATTAGACAATCTTTCACTCGACGGCGAAGGCATGTTGGACTCAAAGGACCTGCCCGCTCCAGACAACCAAGCCGCCAGACATGGGATCCTCGACCATGACCCTGATTCCGATGTCTTCGCCAATCCAATAGATGTTTTTATTCACTCAGGTGCCAACCTTTGTTTTGGACTACTTCTCGTTATGCTTTCTATGATTCCGCCTGCCTTTGGAAAATTGCTTTTCATTATTGGCTTTCACGGGGACAAGGACCGTGGAATTCGGATGCTTTGGCAGGCCAGCAAGTTCCATAATATCAATGGTGCTATGGCAGGCCTGATCGTTTTAGGATACTACAATACATTCATTGGCATGTCTGATATTATCCCTGACTCAGACCCAACTAGTATCGACCAGAATACCGTTGAAGGCTATCCCAAACAGCGCTGCGAAGCTCTCCTCTCGGACATGCGGAGGCGGCATCCAAAATCACACCTCTGGCTCCTGGAAGAAGCCCGCATGCAGGCCGCAAACAAACACCTTTCCACCGCCATTTCTATACTCGAAAAGCCCATCAAGTCTCCACTCAAGCAAGTGGAAGCTCTCAAAATGTTTGAAAGGTCTCTCGACGCAATGTATATGCACGACTACGCCCTTTGCGCCAAATCTTTCATTGCCTGCGTTGATCTCAACAACTGGTCCCATACTCTCTACTACTATATTGCCGGCGCTGCAAATGTCGAAATGTACCGGCAGCACAGAACCTTGAACCCCACCGAGGCTGCTATCTACGCCAAAAAGGCGACCGAGCTATTCAAACTTGCACCCAAGCATGCAGGCAAGAAGAAATTTATGGCGCGCCAGCTACCGTTTGACGTTTTCGTAACCCGCAAAGTCCAAAAATGGGAAACTCGCGCTCGTGACTGGAGTGTTTCTTTCGTCGATGCTGTAGGAGTCAGCCCTGTCGAAGAGATGATATTCCTATGGAACGGGTACAAGCGCATGGACACGAGTCAGCTCGAGCAGAGCCTTTTGCGACTCTCATGGAGCGAGACTTCGAATCCGCACTGGAAGCGTGAAGGTCCGGATGAGAAGGCTATATTGTCGGTGCTCTATGGCGCCACTCTGAGGAACTTGAAGCGCTACGAAGAAGCGAAGGAACACCTCCGAGCAGGTGTCCTTAGCTATGACAAGAACGAATTGAAAGGAGGATCGAGAGATGATTGGACGGCACCTGCTGCTAATTACGAGATGAGTGTCAACTGTTGGATGCAGAGGGGAGAGGCAAGGAAGGAGGGTAAGGAGGCTGAGGTGAAGAAATGGGTAAAGGAGTGTGAGAGTGTAAGCAACTTCCCCAGCTCTTCATTTCCTAATCCATATCTTGATTTGAGTCGCAAGACACATTGCGGAAGTATCTTGACTCCCGCAACTGTGTTATGAATCAGCTTTTCACTTTGAAAGGAAATCACTCACCAAAGAATATGCAGTGGATAGAGAAAGCGGCGACTTGGGAGAAGTTCGAACTGGACGCGAGGATTGGACTCAAAATCGCGACAGCGCAGGACACGTTGAAGAGATGGCATGAGAAGGAAGGGACCGCGAAATAGAAGAGGTCATCAATGGGACCTGGAAACGGAACGTTAAACGGTAACGTGCGCTGTATTGGTTTGTAAGACACCACATAGAAGTAAGACAAAGGGGTTTGTACAGGTACTGGTTATGTACATATCTGGGCTGCACTTTCGAAAGGTTCAAGGACGGAACGAAGCACCGAAAAACCTTGTGCTGATCAAATGGCAGCCAAAGTGATGACCTGACCAATTCCTGAGCCCACAAATTCTTTATCAGACTTTCATCCTATTTAGAGCTCCGCCACGCACAACGCATGAACAATCATTCTAAATTTCAGTCCGACATTACACAGCGGTGCTTCTGGAGGCTTTATCGAGGATGTTGGCAATGGGAGTGTACGCAATGGATGTGGTTTTCGGGATAGACGACTAGGCGGATTTTATTGGGGTCGTCGTTCACTTCAAGGAGTATCAAGGAGTGTAGCACCGCTTTGGATAATGACCATCTCGTTACAAGCGGTTATACTTCGAGTCAAATGAACATTACAAGCTTTTTGATTGGCTGGTACCTTTCTAGTAATTACCTCGACCCATCTATCTCATCTATCTTCCTTTTTTGATAAAAAAAGTATCATGTACATGATTTCCCCATTCACGACCGACCTATCCTCATCAAGTCGCTGCTGACGCTGAAGCCGACGCCGAACAGCCCAACTCCGACTCCGCCACCTTGGCAGCGAGCAAGTATCCAGACAGGTACGGGGGGACGGCGATGCCGCGGGATTTGAGTTTCGCAATCTGGGCGAGGGTGGCGGCATTCGCGGCTGTGACCTTCTTGCAGGCTGCCGCGCTGAGACTTGAGAGGAAAGAGCTGGAGGACGGGCTCGCGGTAGGCCTGGGACTGGTTGCGATGGTTTTGGTTGCGATGGTTTTGGATCTGGTAGTCGCAGTGGCGGCTGCGCCGGAAGCGGATGAGATCGATACTGCGGTGGTTGCAGTGGTGCTTGAGGGTGTAGTTGAGGTTGAGAGGGCGGAGGTGGCGGAGGTGGCAGGGGCTTGTGAGCTTGAGGCCACAGTGGTAAGGGTGGTGCTCGAGGATGCAGCTACGATTGTGTCTGATGTCGCCACGGATGATACTATTGCCTGCGGGGCGGCGAGTGCTGTAGCGGCAAAGAGCAGGACGAGAGACGTTGGCTTCATCTTGATGGAATGCTGTAGGATTGAGAAGCGGAGACTCGGGATGCTGTAGAGCTGTGCTTCAAAGGAATCGGAGATGGTCCCGTAGAGCAGGGCCAGTTCTCATCTTTATACGAGGATGGCCGTAGTAAAGGCTTTTCGGATGCGGTGGAGCGCACGGCTTTCAGTGGAAGCCAAATACTCGAGACTGCTTGCCAAAGGCGTCCCTCTGTGAACGAAGGAAATCATATCTTAGCAGGCCTCACTGCATATGGATTCGCCAAGCTTCCACTCTGCTCCTCATGTGTAAAGCCAACACCATTAAAGCTGAGCCAAAGAGGAATGTCTACCGCGGGAAACCCACGCCAATCAGCCACATCGGACCACCGGCGTTGGTGAAACCCAAAAAAAGAAAGAGAAAAAAAGGTGCAATGTTGAAAGTGAAAAATGCTCATCAGACACTTTTAGAGACTCCTCCATACAGAATGATAGAGAGCGACCCAGGTTTCTGAAAGAAAGCGCCGCGGAAAGGGGGGGCATCTGGACGGTAATCAAATCGGTCAAGAGGCAAAAATCTTATTGCGTAGAGAATCATTTTTGGTTCTTGCCTGCAACCTCTCAGTGTGAAAGAGACCTTACGCTTGTCCACGGCAGCTGTATAGTAAAGAGCCAGGTTGATACACCACTAATGCCAGATGAAAATCAATTCGCCCCAGCGCAATGTCGTGCTTCCATTACTTGAACACAGGGTTGTCAGTGTCAGCAGGCTTGTGACACATGTCATTTGAACATACTCTACGTTGCATTGGCGTCAATGGATGGGAGTGGAATTGGGCAGATGCTTGTGGTGCTTCCAGGAAGAGACTAGAGCACGTGACTGCGCGACGCCAGGCAATGCCAAGCAATGCCGAGGAAACAAGCGGCTTTTTCTTCTGACGCGTTTCTATCCAATCCAGGATCACCATTATTCATCATATACCAAAAGCAGAAGGTGCTATGGCTCCTCGTACCCATGGCAAGCGCAAGATTGATGCTATAGACCTGACTGGAGATGACGACGTGGGATCCGCATCCTGGGCCCACCGAGCTCCTCCCGGGGATGTGACGCAATCTCAGCGCAACTCTTGGATGGAACAAGGCGATGAAGCGGATGCAGAGGACATTGTTATCTCTTCTCAGGATGGCGAAGACTCTGTCTACCAAAGCTACCAACTTTACGGTATGCTAAGGATCGGGACAAGAATAATCCGGCCTTGCTACCGTTCCTAATCTACCTAGGCATTCTGGATACTAAGATTGTGGGCGTCCAATACTACACCGGCCATGCGACACCTGGAGAACACGTTATTGTTCGTAGGGAGCCCAACAACCCATACGATTCAAATGCCCTTCGCGTCGAGAACGTGCAGCGCGCCCAAATCGGTCACATACCAAGAACGATGGCAAGCAAGTTGGCGAAGTATATGGTGAGACCTTTGGGTTTGATATCTTGCGAAATGCTAACGCCGACCTAGGATTCCGGAGCTCTCTTGGTGGAAGGGTCTCTCTCAGGTCATGTGGGCTCTTACGACTGTCCCATTGCTCTAAAGCTGTTCGGAACCAGCGAGCCTGTCGAGCGAGCCAATCTACGAAGCCAGATGAAAGCGGACAGCCTGCCTTCGGCAGTGATCGACCATAAAGAGAAAGAGGCGAAGACACGCAAGGCTGAGGAATTGAAAAAGATCGCAGCCGCAAAGAAAGTCAAAGGTGGAAAGACAGGTGGACGTGGTCAACAATGGGGACATTCGAGCCAGACTGACTACGCTGGCACTTTATCTCAGGGTGATGGAAATTCCAGTCAGAGCTTTGAGAATCTCATCGATGGCAGTGAGCGGTTCAACCCGAGGGAAGTGGGCAGTGTGGTCGAGAAGTTCGGGGCCGGGGAAGATGCATTGGCCGCAATGCCAATGGCAGAATGCCCAAAGAAACTTACAACTCAATTGCTGCCATACCAGCGTCAAGCACTTGCATGGCTATTGGAGAAAGAGAATCCTCAACTTCCCTCAGCTGGTTCTGACGACGCAGTACAGCTGTGGAAATGCTCTCGGAATGGCCAGATCTATACCAACGTTGCTACCAGCTTTTCACTTAAAAACCAGAAGCCCACTCTCGCAAGCGGCGGCATACTGAGCGATGACATGGGCATGGGCAAGACTATCGAGATGATCTCACTGATCGCGAGTGACAATGCGGACTCAACTGTCTCCAGCAAATCGAAGACAACGCTGATCATCGCACCTGTCGGAGTAATGAGCAACTGGAGCGGGCAGATTGCTCACCACATCAAGCCAGATCATGCTCTTCGTGTGTTGGTCTATCATGGTCACAACAAGAAGCCCATGAAGGCGGAAGACTTCGGGGAGTATGATGTGGTGATCACCTCCTACGGAACGCTGGCCACTGAATACTTCCCTCGCGGGAAAAAGGATCCTCCATCTGTACCGCGTCAGCAAGGTCTCTTTTCCACGGAATGGCGTCGGGTCATTCTAGACGAGGGCCATATCATCAGGAATCCGCAGACCAAATCGGCTCTGGCAGCTTTGAATCTTATGGCGCAGTCTCGTTGGGTCTTGACTGGAACGCCCATCATCAACAACTTGAAGGACCTGTTCTCTCTAGTCCGCTTCATTGGCCTGACCGGAGGATTGGAGCGTCTGGAGATCTTCAACAGTGTGTTGATCCGACCACTCAATCAAGGCGACGTCAACGCAAGCCTGCTACTACAAGCCCTGATGGCCACCATCTGCCTTCGCCGCAAGAAGGAAATGAAGTTCGTTGACCTGAAACTTCCCGAGCTATCGGAGTATGTTCACCGTATTGACTTCTTGGATCACGAGAAAGAGAAGTATGAGGCTTTGCAAGCGAAAGCAAAGGGTCTTCTGCACACGGTCCAGCGGAACCAGACCAACAGCAACGGGAAAGGTCAGGACACTTACCGTCATCTTCTGGAAATGCTGCTTCGCCTCAGACAAGTGTGCAACCACTGGAAGTTGTGCGGCGAACGGGTAAATTCCGTTCTTTCGGTCTTGGAGTCTCAAAAGGTCGTGGATCTCACGCCTGAGAACCGGAAGGCTTTGCAAGATATGTTGCAAGTTAGCATCGAATCACGGGAAGATTGCCCAATCTGTCTCGAGAACCTGCACAACCCTGTGATCACGGCCTGCGCTCACGTATTCGGCGCTGATTGTATTGAGCGGGTCATTGAGACGCAGCATAGATGCCCAATGTGCCGAGCTGAGCCTCTGGAGCTTGAATCCCTCGTTCATCCAGCGGTTGACCTCGGTGAAACCTCTGATCAGCCTGACATCGACACAGATACCAGCAGTAGTAAAGTCGAAGCCTTGCTAAGTATCTTGAAGGCGTCTTCCAAAAAACCTGGGACGAAGACCGTGATCTTCAGTCAATGGACTTCCTTTCTAAACATCATCCAAGCCCAACTTGATGCCAATGGGTACAAGTATGCTCGTATCGATGGCACCATGCGTGCCAACGAACGTGACGCTTCACTGACTGCTCTGGAGACGGATCCCGAATGCACAGTCATGCTCGCTAGTCTAGCTGTCTGCTCTGTCGGACTCAACCTTGTCGCAGCCAATCAGGTAATTTTAGCAGACTCGTGGTGGGCACCTGCGATTGAAGATCAGGCCGTCGACCGTGTCCATCGACTGGGGCAGAAGAAACCTACAACAGTCTGGCGGCTAGTCATGAATGATAGCATCGAGGATCAGGTCTTGAACATTCAGGCCGAAAAGCGGAAGCTAATGATGACTGCGTTCCAGGAAAAGACGGGGAAGAGGATGAAAGAGGGAAGCACGGCACGAATGGGTGATATTGAAAGGCTACTTAGATGATCGAGGAGATATCTGTACGCTGTCAGATGTGTGTATCTTAGTTGCTCGAGGCTTGTTGGCTATCGTTCAATGTTCTAAGACTTCTGTCGTCAGCTGCTCGAAGCCTGTTGGCTATCTTTTCGGCTTTCTGGATCTTGATAGAGACCTTGTTGAGCGGGGACCTCGCAAAGTGTACCGCTAAGATTCGTTTCGATTGACTTGGAATTTCCAGACATTTTACAATCACTGCTATCAGCTAGTATCAGAATAATGGCACCTAGTGGCACTCACGACCGCTTCCCAACGGCAGGCAAACTGCAAAAAAGGTAACCATCTATAAAATACGCTAAAACTCTTGGTATCTCACGTCGAAATACGCTGTCACTCATAACCAGTACTTCACAGCTTTCTCTAGCACCTTACCTGCCAGCACGATGTCGAAAGCCAAAAAACGAAGCCAGTAGCACCTTCTCTCCTCGTCACTTTTCCCAGCTCTTCCACCTCTCACCAGAGCAATGTTTTACAATCTATCCTCTCAACGACCATCATGCCGCTCCCTCTCCATCTTCCATCTCAAACACCCTCTCCTACACAAATCACCCCCCCACCCCGCCCTCACCGGCGGAAATCCGCCAAACCAACCCACCCACTCTCACCGTCGCGCCCCGTCCGTCCGTGTCCGTCACAGCCACCGACCGAGCGCGGCGAGACTCTATGGTCGCACAACGCGCGCGATCGAATCTCGTGGTTTGTGCACGTGAGGGATGAATCCTCGCCTCTCCTGTTGCTACGTATGTATGCAAGCAGAGAGGGAGGAAGGAGGGAAGATGGATGATGGAAGATGGAAGCGACGCCAACCCGCACGCCTACTTCACGATGGATATTCTTTGGTAAGTATGATGTCTGAAGGAAGGAAGGCAGGAAACGACAAGCTCGATCGATGCGAGAGGTTGTGACGGTGCGTACGTAAAGCCGGTGATGTGATGGGACGGGATGGGATAGGGAGAGAGCTGCTGCGCATCGTTTTGCCGTGTTCGCGTTTGGTGACGTGGTCGGTGAGCTCGTCGTTGGGATGATGTTTGTTCTTGTTGTAGGGGGAGAGGAGGCTGGGAAGGAAGCGGGCTTGATGTCTTTCTTGCTGGTCGTGCTGGAGATGCGGGTGCAGTCTCGCGGGAGAGCAGGATGCGAGTTGGGAGGAGAAGGTTGAGGGTTGTGGGAGGGTGTGGTGTGGCTGATGGTGGGGTTTACTTCAGGGGTGAGTTGCTGGTTGAGGAGGAGGAGGAGGAGGAGTGCGATGGGAAAGGTATGGGCGCAGGAGTGAGATTTGGAGTCGTTGTTTGGCGGGGATTTGGGATTGGTGGTTTGCGGGTCGCGATAGATCTGGAGACGGAGTCCGGGGGAAGGGCGAGGAAGGATGTCATTTTGGTGGTTTGGGAAGGAATCTGTGATTCGTGGCGCGGTGGAGACTTGAATTGGGAGAAGATGGCGAGAGGAAGGGAAGAAAGAGATTAATCTTGCGATCTCTGAGTCATTGTTTGAGCGAATATTGCAACGTCTCTTTCTTTTTGCGCGTAGTTTCCTTGCAATTATACTCATTTCTGAGCCATGTAATCCTGTCAATTTACATATAAAATGTGACTCGATTCATTGTTCCAAAGACGTAGGGGGCTAGACCAGTAGAGAGTAGAGGGTGAGTATGCTCGGAGAGGGGATGCGGGAGAGGGAGGCCACAACAGTCTCCCACAACAGGACGTGTTCCGCATAATACATTTGCTTCAATTTCAGAACTCAATCACCGATAGAACTGCTCGACTGTTGTCGTGACACCTATCGCATATGCTTCTCGAGGCGCATCGACCGCCTTCTCACAGGGAATCTCCGGTCCAACATTATCAAGCCTGCAATTCTCGTCTCTTCGCTCGTGTGCGTCGCGTCCACCTGAAATACCGGTGGTGACGAGAGGAGGTGGAAATGCAACACCCGACACAGTGCCGCTGTACTGTAGCTCTACGTCGCTGCTTGCGAGGAGATCACGTTCTTCCCAAATCACCGGTCGCGTTCGACGAGAGCTGTCCTTTAGCCTGCCGTCGCTGGAGTGGACGTTGATGTACGTGCTCTGCCTGCGGTTGTGGCGAGGGTGTATCAAAGCTGCAAGTGGGGGTATGCAAACGCAGATCAGACCAGTTGTGATCTCTGCTGCTCCCCACAGAAGAATCTCGGGTTGATTGTATGTTACATCTGGACTTTTGCTCGTCCTGATGCGGACGACCAAGCCTACTATGCTAAACGCAGGGGCCCTATGAATTATTAGAGACAGCCAGAAAACCCGCGATTGTTTTCCAATCCATATCCAATGGGAAAGTCCGTTGACAATATTCGGGTCACTTACAGAAAGCCAAAGGTAAAGAGCAGAACCACTCCCACCTTTCTCTTCACACTCGTATTGAGGGTCCAGGAGACTTTGACAGGGATCAACAATAAAAGTATGTCCGTCAGGGTGTTGAAGGCTCCGCTGGCATTGAGTAGGTTGGAAATACTGACACACGTTCCCGGCCTTCTCTTGTCCCATATCCTTGCCCGTGGCGTACACTCAAAAATCTTGGCAATAGTGATTGCGACATAGAAAAGGGATAAAATCACGATGAAAAGCCGGATGGCTCGATCAAAGTGACTATTCTTCTGAGGTGAGAATGTCCTGCGATACAGAAGCAGAATTGAGACTTTCGTGCAGCCGATGGCTGGCCCGTAGATAATCGATGCTATGTTGAACAACTGTACATGGCATTAGCAGATGATGGTCTCACATACGCGCCTGAGACCCACTCGAACGGCTCCGCGCGCTTGCGCTTTCGTTAAGTCCCACTCATGCACACCCCCATGATTTTTCATCACGGCGGTGTTCAAGGCGCAATAAGAAGCCAAGAGAGCCTAGAGCCCCTTTTTTAGCCGCACTGATCGGATTCCGAGATGCGCGTGCAAGGCTCACCCATGATAAACAGCACATATCTAGGTCCATCAGTTTAATCGCACAGCCATGGCGTTGAGGAAGCACCCACAATCTTCAGATATCCATTGTCGCTTCATCCACAGTCGGACATAGCTTCGAAGGAAAAGAACAGTCGTGGTGGTAATGAGACAGACCAAGACACAGACGAGATTCCACTTCTCAAGCGACTTTGGGTTTACAAAGTTAGAAACCTGCCCCCATGGAGGCGGAAGCGCGACGACTTGATCGGCAGATGACGCCATCCCAGACCAGATAATACGAAGAAGCAGTCCCTGCGGTAGTGGGCACACTAAGGGAAGGCGGGCTTTTATGCCTACAACAGTGGAGTCAAATATGCAGAGAAAGACTTGCTCCTTATAAGTGAGGGAATTATTGTCCCATCAACGCTGTCCGCCGGAATCCATGCTAGACTTCAGCTAATGCTACGAGTATTTGCAAGCGGTAGGAGCCGAATTACAAGCTTCAAGGGGCGCAGAAGAAACACGATTCATTGGCTTCAGATTGTCCAATTGCAACTTCGCAAGTCGTGATTACCTGCAGCAGCCAGAACTTGTTCACATGGCTCTGCTTACATGTAGATCCTGGAATTTCGTCCACGGGGTCGTGCTTACATTTGGCATCTGGTGCCTTCGCCAGCTGCTTCGGAAGATGATTTAGAGTCCTGCGAAGCGATTCCGGAGAGAGGAAAGAGCTGTACTCGGGGCAGCGATGCTTCAAAGGCGACATGCAAAAGATCCAAGTTGTTGAGATCGCAAAGATTATGGAAACTATTCGCGTGTTGCCCAGATCGGTCCTCGTGGCCCATACATCACGTGTGTCAGCCTGCATATGCAGTCAGCGTGATTACTCAATCAATGCGGCCAGCCTGGCTCTGCGGTCAGCATTGTTTCAAGTTTCTGATTGGCACGAGTAAAAGTAGGAGGGACATGGGCAATGCACAGTTACGGAGCAAAGCAACCCCACCAAGGCACAGCATTTGAGGCAGATAACTGGTCACTTTTTGGCTCCTTGGAGGTAGTGGTGAAGAGGCTCATAAGTACTATACACACAGGTATAAATTGATAGAAAGACGTCGTGGTAGAGTTCTGGACGAGTAGTAGCGTGGTTAAGGTACCTAAGTGGTGAGGCTACGGTACGGTCAGAGCCGTTTAGTGGTTTCGCTTCGGACCGTGTATTACGGCTGTACTTGCCCCGAGTACATAAGGTAAGGTACCTCAAGTAGTCACAGGGATGGAGGGGACATGCAAGCATTAACTAGGTCTCGCATCATTGCATCGGTGATGCCACCGACATTAGCGTTGTGAGGTCTGCAAGGCTAAGGTACTTAATTGAAGGATGCCATGAAACAATATAACAATTCAAATTGCAGCTTTCTTCCTGTACGAGCACCAATAGGCAGTAGCACACGCCTCACCAATTCAAACGCCATTGCCCAATCCTTGTTCTATTTCGAGCAAGGTAGAAGGTCTTACGCTCCTCAGACTCTTTTCCCTTTGCGAGAATTCACGCACACGTACGATAAGCACCTTTTCCCCTGTGAAGGGAATGGCGACAGATTCTAAAAACCAATAATACTTTACCGCGTGGCTTCCAACACGTTTCCTGCCAATTTCAAAGTCATCACACCACCGTAGGAGCCAAGTCTCTTTTACTGTTACCGAGACTATATTTTAGCAAGAAAAACCCACCAGCTGAAAGTGCCATCAGTCGTGTCCAGGAACACAGTCAACTCGAGATGGAGGTCGAAAGTAAGTACGTAAGACCTGCTCAGCGCTTCACAAGCCGACAGAATCAACAGAGCCAAGCCACAGCCCAGACATTACCTCCAGAGCTTCAGCCAGCAGCGCGGAGAAGGCACCTGCCACACTACAAGGCCCATCTACCATTGACGAGAAAGCTCTACTCAGAAAGATAGACATACGCGTAATACCTATCCTCTTCATCGTCTACCTCGCCGCCTTTCTAGACCGCGTGAATATCGCCAACGCCCTCACGCTCCGTCTACCGAAAGACCTGCACCTCAAAGGCAACGAGTCCAATGTCGCCCTCACCATCTTCTTCGTTCCCTATGTTCTCTTCGAGGTTCCTTCCAACATTCTGATGAAAAGGTTCAAACCTCATGTCTGGCTGTCAGGGTGCATACTGGCTTTTGGCATCGTGATGCTATGTCAAGGCTTCGTGCAGAGCTACAGTGGACTTCTTGCGACAAGGTTCTTTCTAGGTCTCGCTGAGGCTGGAGTATTTCCGGGCTGTAAGTTGCCCTTCTACCACCGTCGTCGAGTCATGCGTCCGCATTCTGGACTAGCGTGACCTTCGCCATCTGTCTACTTTTACAAAACAATGATTCTTGTTCTTGGTACCAACACTGACTGGGAGCACAGGTTTCTACTTGATCAGCTTCTGGTACAAACGCGAAGAATCCCAGCGACGTTTCACGGTGTTTTGGAGCTCTGTTCTGTTTGCCAGCATGTTTGGAGGTCTACTTGCCAGTGCTATCGCCAACATGCAGGGTGTCCGCGGATACAGCAGTTGGCGATGGATATTCATACTTGAGGGTATAGCGACAATCATCATCGGCATTGGTGCGTACTTCCTGGTCGCCGACTTTCCGGCCGACGCCAGCTGGTTGAGTGCTGAAGAAAAGGAATATGTCATCGCAAGGACTGGGACGGACGAGGGAGCCGCGTCTCCTATCACGGTCCGTCAGATCGTGTCATTCTTTGGAAATGTTAAGAACATCATCGGTGGCTTCATGTACTTTGGTATGTGTTGTATCTGAAGTCGTATACATGAAACTTAGTTAACACTCCCCTGCAGCCGTCATCGTCCCTATATACTGTGCGTTCTGCACCCCTGTGCTTGAGATTGACGAACTGACACCGCAAATCAGCCTACTCCTATTTTGCTCCGACAATAGTCAAGACGCTTGGCTACTCGACCGTGGAAACCCAATTGCATACGGTCCCACCAGCTGCCGCTGCGCTAGCCCTCTGCCTCCTTTCAGCGTACCTGTCCGACCGCCTCCGCCTCCGTTTTCCATTCATCTTCTTCGGCTTCTTGCTCACCATAGTAGGCCTCGCAATCCTACTGACAACCCACGGGGGTTTCCATCTGCGATACCTAGGCATCTGTTTCGTCGCAATGGGCTGCTTCTCCGCCGGTCCCATAATCGTCTGCTGGTACGTCATGAACCTGAACGGACACATGGAAAGAAGCATTGGCAGCGCGTGGATGATTGGTTTCGGGAATACGGGCGGGTTTGTGGCAACTTTCTGCTTCCTAGCGAAAGACGCTCCCTTTTACCACGTAGGTTATTCGATATGTATGGGAGCGACCTGCATCGGAGCGCTGGCTGTTGTACTGTATGCAGGGTTAGTCATCTTGGAGAACAACGCCGCGCGGAAACGAGATGGAAAAGAACACGCGAACAAGATGTACCTGTAGTTTTCAGCGGAGAAGCGCGAGCTGATGGTGACTGCGTTCCAAGTGTTTTAGCATATCAAACGAGGATTTCGGTAGCGATTGGCGTCCAATGAAAATGGGCAAGCTTTGAGCCACCAAAGTGTTACTGATGAATCAACCTACCTTACTTAAAGCCTTGGTCTAGGACAAATGGTCGTGGGGACCTTGCATGTTTGAGTCGAAGGCCAGCTCATAAACAAACGACAAAAGCAATCTCCGTCAACAAGTACTTATATAGGGCGCCCAAAGGAATCATTTCTCAAGTTTCTGGTCATGCATAACTTTTCCGGGAATCATAAACAAGAAGCATCCCTAGAAGACAGCGTGAAGCCTCGTCAATCTGCGCTGAGGAAATTTGCAGAAAGATACCTGAGGCAAGAACGACCTTCTCAATGCCCACTCCATCCCATGACAGATATACGCGAAGGATTTCTCCGTTGCACCGCTGAACTTTGCTATTAAAGCTTTTGTCTTGATCGTTTACATCGAGAACTTTGGAAATGCTTGGCGATGGGGAATGTACAATGACGCTGGATGGCCATTTGTAAGTTAGCCGACCGGTCACGTGTACCTCGGGTTGCACCATACTCCTCTCCCTTCACCGCTCCTCTCCCTTTCCCTCTTCTCTCCTTACCTCCCCTCCCTGTCTTACCGACACGACCCATGCTTATATCCGGCCATTCATAATCCCACCTCCACGGTCAGAGTAGCATCCTCCTTCGAAGGAAGCCAATACACGTCCAGCAACTAGCAATCATGGTGTCAGCGTGTCTAGTTCCTTCTATGCATGCGTCCCTTCTACATCCCTCCATATATATTCTATTATTATTCCTTTCATATAGTTAGTTATAAATAGTAATACTTTATTCTTTATTAGCTATATAATAGCTAATAATCCTACTATTAAATCTATACGCTTTCTATTATTACTACTACTATACTACGCTAAGAGATTATAAACTTTTAATTAATATTAATTAGTATATATAAAAGAATAAGATAGAGCTAAACTAGAAAATCTTAAATTTATATATATAGTTAATTATTAATTTATTAGATCTACGCTTTTTAATTAGATATTATAGATAAATAAATTAATATTCGTAATTATTAAAAAAATAGATATATATTATTAATATATAGAAAAACTTTTTTATTTTCTATTAACTTTTTAAGATTTTAAAATTTAAATTTTAGAGCGCAGTCTACGCTTTTCGAATTTTTAAGAATTTTAAAATTTAATCTTATAATTATTAAAGCGTAAGAAATTTAAATATTACTTATTAGAGTTCGCTCGATAGTTAAATAGTCTTAATTAAAAAATAGATATATATTATTTAATTTTAGAATAACTTTTTTATTTTCTATTAAAATTTTAAAAATTTTTATTTAAACTATAGAGTATAATGTGGGCTTTTAAATAAAAAAAGAATTATTAAATTTAGTCTTATAGATATTTAAAGATAAGAAATTCAGATATCGCTTATTAAAGATCGCTTATTAAAATTTACTCGATAGCCTCGATTAAAAAAAAATGTTTATGAATTTAATTTATAAGTCTTTACTTATAATATTTTAATATTTTAACTATATTAATTATTTTAAAAATATAATATATATATATTCTTCTAGCTATAATAAGTAAATTAAGATAGTATATTATCTCTATATTAGAGAAGTTATAATAATTATATAATCTATAAATCTAGAAAACGAATTAAATAAAGTCTAGATAATTATAATTTAAGAGATTCTTTAAATTCGCTATATTCTTATTAAATATTAATATCTCTATATTTAAAAAAGTATTTAAATAAAATTATTAAAATTAGTATATATAATAGAATAAGGTAGAGCTAAACTAGAAAACCTTGAATTTATATATGCAGCCAATTATTAATTCGTTATAGAGGTCTATATCGAAGGTTCTACACCCGCACTAATATAGCCCTAACCCTACTTTCGAAAAGCGGCCCTATAGAGGGAAAGTCTAGAAATATCTTCTTACAGCGTATAAAGGGATTTTAGATACTTCTTTTAACTTAATAGAGGCATTAAGCCCCGAAACCTGGCTAGGGCTAGATGCGATTCCGAAGAACTCCAGACGTATTATCTAGGTAGCCCTTTCGGTGGGGCGTTATCCGAAGTCTGAGCGCAAGAGTCTTGGCGGGTGCAGGACTTTCGGTGCAGACCTCTGTAGGTCTACGCTTTTTGATTAGACACCGCGGGTAAACAAATTAGCGTCCGCAACCATCAAAAAAATAGGTGTACATTATTAACATATAGAAAAACTTTTTTGTTTTCTATTAACTTTTTAAGATTTTAAATTTTAAATTTTGAAGCGCAGTCTGCGCTTTCTGAATTTTTAAGAATTTTGAAATTTGGTCTTATAATTATTAAAGCGCAAGGAATTCAAATATCGCTCACCAAAGTCCGCTCACCAAAATCCGCTCGACAGCCCTAATCAAAAAACAGGTGTACATTATTTGATTTTAGAATAACTTTTTTATTTTCTATTAAAATTTTAGAATTTTTAATTTAAACTATAGAGTATAATATAAGCTTTTAGATAAAAAAAGAATTACTAAATTAAGTATTATAGATATTTAAAGATAAGAAATTTAGATATCGCTTATCAAAGATCGCTTATTAAAATTTACTCGACAGCCTCGATTAAAAGAAAATAATTATGAATTTAATTTATAAATCTTTACTCGTTAAATAGTATATAATTATTATTAAATAGTTAAGATATATATTATATTTAATTCTCGCTAAAATATTATACTTATATTATATATATTTATAATATATATAATATAATTAAAGTACTCGAAGATATATATAAATTTAAAGAATATACTTTTTATAAAATATTATAATTTATAAAGAATTATTAGTTATATAAACTTAGCTAATTATAAAGAAGTTATTAAGTATATTAAGATAATTAAAAAAATTAAAATAAAACTCGTTAAATTAAATTATTAATATACGTAAAAGATTATAATATTCTTTCTTTATAGATTTCTCTTATCTTATAAATTCTTTATAGAAATTATTTTAAATAATTAAAGTAAAGACGCTAGAGAAAGATTATCAAAATCGAATTTTAATTATCTCGTCGAATAACTTCTTAATAAAGAATATTATTAAAAATTAATTAATTTTAATAATTTTAATAATAAAGCTATATTTATAAATAATAAAAATAAGAGAAATAATAATAATAATAATTTATAATAATAATAATAATAATAATAATAATAATAAAATTATCTTTAAATCTAAGTATAATAACTATAATTTTCGCTATAATAGAATTTACTAGCTATCTAATCTTAATTAAATCTTTATTAAATAGATTAAAAAGAATAAAAACTATATTAAAAAATTTAAGAAGAAGAAGAAGACTAGTAAGTATATCTTTATTAAATTTAGTAAAAAATTAAAAATAGTAAAGACGATCTATATAAAGATTATTATAATATTATATAATAATAACTAATATTTTAATAATATAATCCTATTTTATATAATATATTTCGAAGTCTATTTTATTAAAAAACTAATCTTTCTTAAAAATTCTATATTAATCGAGACTATTAACGATAGAATATTAAAAGCTATTATTATAAATAATATTTTATTAAAGACTCTTATTAAGAATAAGATTAGCGAGAATAAAGATTATATACTTATATTTATAAACGTCTATTATATCGACGATTTATCTATTAATCTACTCTTTCTAAATATATTTTAACGTAATAATCTTATTTATATTAAAAAAGATCGTTTAAAAGTCTATAATAATAATAATAATAATAATATTCTTAAGAAAGAATTAATAAATATATTTTATAAGTTAAGATTTATATTATTTAAAGTTATAATAATTAAGAAAATCGCTATAATCGCGATTATTAAGAAGATTAACTATTAAATTATTTAAATTTTAATAATAATATTAAATTATTAACTATAATAAAAGAAATAGAAATTATAAATAATATTAAAAGATAATTTTATAAATTATATATATATAGAAAATAGAAGAAGATCTTAGATTATAAATTAATAATTAAGATAGAAAATACTTTTAATAGTATTTATATAAATCTCTTTAATAGTATATTAATACTATTACTTTATAAAAATCGATTAAAGACTTAATTTTTAAAAAGTAGACTTCTTAAAAACTAAAAATTAGATACTTAAATTACTATAAAACTTTATTATTATAATTAAAACGTAGTTTTATATTACTCTTAAATATATTTATTTTAATAATAAAAATAACTATAATAATAAAAAAACTTAAAATTAATTAGTTTTTTAAGATATATAATAAGAGTTAATTATATCTAATTTATTTAAATAAAATAGTATTAATAAGTATAATAATAGTATTCTTATTTAAAAGATATATATTTAATTAATAGCTATAGATCTATTACTAAGTTTATAAACTAAGATTATTAAAATAGCTATTTTAAATATAAATTATTTATTTATAATATTATTAAAAAGATAACTATAATATTATATTAGATTTTAATTAAAAATAAGTTAAAAATAGCTTATTTAAGATTATTTAAGATTACGATCTATATCTATATCTATAAATATAATTAAATAAAAAATTAAATAAGAGTTTAAATATATCTTACTTAGTTATAAGAAATTTAATTAATATTAATTATAATATAAATATAAATCTTATTTAATATAATAATAAGTAAAGGCTTATAAATTAAATTTATAATTGTTTTTTTAATTAAGACTATTAAGTAAATAGATAAGCGATCTTTAATAAGCGAACTTTAATAAATAATATTTGAATTCTTTACGCTTTAATAATTATAAGACTAAATTTAGAAAATATTTTTTTATTTAAAAGCCTATATTTCGTTCTATAATTTAAAAAGAGATCTTAAATTTTTTAATAGAGAATAAAAAAGTTATTTTAAAATTAAGTA